ACGAAGCAGACCGCAACGTTGCCTACTTGTGCATCGGATATCCCAAAGTTCAAAGGGGTGATGGCCAACTCTCCGCCTAGGGAGCGAGCCGGGGGGAAGCATTTCGTGCACCAGCGCTTGCTTTATCAACTACACTATGCCTTTTATTGTTCTTTGTGTCGGCACCTTTCCAGGCATTCTAGAAAAGTTTTGCTGCCGGTTTCTGGCGCTGCTGGGCAATTGATTGCTCCGACCGTTCCCTCAAAAAACGTGTTTGATGCTTTCCCTCGAACGGTCTGCCAGCATGCACCGGGTTTGGGTCAACTCCGTTGCAAGTCATGGCGTTACCATGTGGCACTGAAGCAGCAACTGTTGACCGCAGAGTGGGAACTGCCATGGCCAACTAGCAGGGACATCTAAAGCTGCGGGTATTCAGTAGGATATCGACCGGTTACCAACGGCACAATGACTGCAGGTTGAGTGGTACATTGCATGCATTTGCACGAGTGCAGAAGGGGGATGCATGGAAACAACGTCGGGCTTCACAGGCGGCAAACAATGCTCGCCCCCGTCAGACGAATTCAGGGGGCAGCCATCAATGCTCTCTCTAGTGTGGCGGTGGCACCCAAGCTCTGGCACAAAGAGACGAGGTAGGTCAATGCACCGGTGTCAAATTACCTGCGCCTAGTAGTCGGGCTAATAAAATTGTCTCCAAAAGGCTGCAAGCACAGCAAGACCCTCCGCATGGGTCTGAGAAGCTAGGTCCGTACTTTAGCTTCTGCTCAGCTATGGAATCTCGCTATCCACGGCCGTCGCCGCTATATGGCCGGTCATCATNGTCTCTTTGCAAAGCAGCTGTCGCTTCAACAGAATTGTTGTTTCTCTGTTAGGACGAATGCCCTTCTTAAGCAGCTGTATCGCTGCGCACAAAGCTTTTCTGAGACGAATATTCACTTCAAATTGATCTCCGAAGGATCGGTTATAAGGTTTATCCGCCACCTCTTCCGGAATGTTTGCCACGAGTTCTTCCCACCACGAATTGCTGTTCCCCGCCTCCCCCAGTACCTCCCTTGCGACAAAAAGTGCATCTAATATCATGTAGCGGAGCCCCAGCGCACGAACAGCTTTTTGGGGCACTAGTTGAACCGCACGCTTCGTGTGTGAGTGCATCAAATATCCTGCAAGAGTTTCCATTTTGCAAAGGAGGCCCTCTAAGTCTACTTGGCGAACCATATCTTGCACAAGCACTGAGCGTACATACCGCATAAGAAAACCTATTTGTTTTTTACGGGGCTGACGCGAACGAGCGTCCTCCAAAGAAAGCGGCTTTGCGACAGCACCTGGTTGCAGGACTGGGATCCTGTAGAAAGGATGTTCCCTGGCAGGCGNGAAAGCGGCTTTGCGACAGCACCTGGTTGCAGGACTGGGATCCTGTAGAAAGGATGTTCCCTGGCAGGCGAGGCAGGCTTAGGGCTAGTCGTCGAGGCGACGGGCTCTGGAGTCGGATTATCGTCCGGAGCGGCAATAGGTTCGTTTGTGTTTAGAGGAGAGCCAGGGGACCCTGACGAAGGAGATGATGGCTTTTGCATTCCGCTGGCCAACGCTGCATTGCTAGCCTCCTCAGACGTTGAAGGAACTGGCGACGCACACGGGGAACTAGACGTTGAGCCACTGGGACGCGACTCTGGGTCTGTAACTCCCAAAGCGTTAAGCAGCCCCTGAGTCATTATTCGCCATTCACTTTCCAATAGTTGTGCATCTTTGCTGCTTTTTGAAGGCTTGCGCGCACTAGTTTCATGCGTCCGTGGCGCTCTTGTGCTTTGTTCAGAAGGAGACATATACCTCTTTGGCGGATTCAGTGGATACGTCGTTGGGTAATCTTCACGTTTCCTCTTTCCTGCAGACAATGCCCCAACAATTGAAGGAAACGTGCTGCGCTGTATGCTGGGCTGAACGTCGTGAACTGGGGCACCCGGCTGCGCCCTGGGCTGGGCTTGAAGCAACACCAAGCCTTGGTTGAATTTGTCGAAAACCAAAGGCGCGTTTAAGGGAGCTGCGGAACTCGGCACATGAAAACCTTGAAATGATGAAGGT